CGGCGGGCGGTGGGTGGTGACGGTGGTGGGTGGTGGGTGGTAGCGAGTGGGTGGGTGGTGGTGGTGGCAGGTGGGTGGTGGGCGGTGGTGGTGGGTGGTAGTGGGTGGTGATGATGGTGAGTGGGTGACGGTGGCGGGTGGTGGGTGGTGGTGGCAGCGAGTGGGTGGTGGTGGTGGTGGTGGTAGTGGCAGGTGGTGGTGGCAGGTGGGTGGCGGATGGCGGGTGGTGGTGGTGGTCGGTCGGTGGGTGACGGTGGCGGGTGATAGGTGGTAATGAGTGAGTGGTGATGGTGGGTGGTGTGGCAAGTGGGTGGCGGGTGGGTGGTGGTGATGGTGGTGGTGGTGGTGGTGTGGCGGGGGGGTGAGTAATAGGTGGCTGGTGTGGTGGGTGGCTGGTGGTGGTGGGTGCTGGGGTGACAGGTGGTGGATGGTGGTGGCAGGTGGGTGGTGAGTGGTGGTGGCAAGTAGATGGCGGAAGGTGGTGGCGGGCGGTGGATGGTGGTAGCGGGCGGTGGGCGGTGGTGGGTGGATGGCAGGTGAGTGGTGGGTGGTGGTGGTGGGTGGTGGTGGCGGCGGCGGCGGCGATGGCGATGGCGGCGAGGGGTGGGTGATGGCGACCGGTAGTGGTGGCAGGTGGGTGTGAGTGGTGGTGGTGGGAGTAGGTGGTGGGTGGTGATGGCGGAAGACGGTAGTGGAAAATGGTAACGTGTGGTGGCTAGTGTTGAGTGGTAAAAAAAAACTGAAAACTCAAAATGGAAACACATTTTTTGTGTTTTCATTTTTGGCCAAATTTATTAAAACTGAGACCACTGATTTATAAATCAAAAATTTTACCAAACAAGTTTTTATTTAAGTTTTTTAAATTTTTGTAAATATAAACAGAAAACTGAAAACGTAAGTGTTACCAAACGGCACCTTAGGATTTTGGTAAAACAAATCTAAGATTTAACAATATATATATATATATATATATATATATTGTTCCAAAGTGCTATAGAGAGACATACGGTTTTCAGACATCTTGGTGACCGTGCGTGTTGATTTTCAATTTGGTGCTTGGTCAGTGCTTTGGATTTGGTTTGTTGATGCTTTGCTATCTTTGATTCAAAGCTGATTTGGTTTATTATTTTGGATCTTCTACAACTCTGTTTCAGAAGGTTTTTATTCATCTATTGGTGGAGGTCTTTCCTCTTGTTTTTTGTGATTATTTAGAATTCACCTAAGGGTGGTTTGTGAGACTATTAGTGTCTCGTTTGTAATCGTTTGGAACTTATTTGGTTGATAGTGGAATCGGATTTCGATCCCGTGGACGTACCTCACATTGAGGGAACCACGTAAAAATTCTTGTGTTGCCTTTGATTTAATTTTTCCGCATTAGTTTTTATTCCCATTGATTGATTTACTTGTGGGGAATCACTATTTTCCCTAACAACTAGTATCAGAGCTTACGGTTTATTTGGGTTTATTTATTTATGTAAATCAATGGAGGGGAATGCGGGTCGTATGTCTAACTTCAATGGAAGCAATTGGGTAACTTGGAAAACTAAAATGGAGGACCTATTATTTTGTAATGATTTTGTAATGGACCCATTGAGGGTGATAGTGGCAAACCCGAGGGTAATGAAAGATGATGAATGGAATAGGCCTTAATCGAAAAGCCGTTGGTGTTATCCGTTAATAGATTTGATGACAGTGTGTTTCATCATGTTGTTACTAAAACTTCAGCACATGATTTATGGAAAAAATTAGAAGGCCTTTATGATAGGAAATCAGCCACAAATAAAGCTTTTCTGTTTCGTAAGTTGGTTAATTTAAAATATAAAGAAGGCAGCCCTATTCCGGAACATCTGAATGAAATAAAGAGTATTGTTAACCAACTTGCATCTATAAAAATTGTTTTTGATGATGAGTTGCAGGCTTTGATGCTATTAGTTCTTTGTCCCAAAGTTGAGAGACTTTGGTTGCGATGGTTAGTAATTCGGCACCTGATGGAGTTTGTCACAATGGGCCAAGTCACTAGTAGCTTGTTGAATGAAGAAACTAGAAGAAAATTAGCGGGTTCCTCTCATTCAGAAGCATTTGTTGTGAGAGGCCGAAGCAAAACAAGGGGAGGAGTAAGACTCCTCATGGTCGTGATCCAAAGCCGTGACAAATCAAAAGATGGTTCTTTTCAAAGAAAATACATTGAGTGCTATTATTGCCATGAGAAAGGGCACATGAAGCGGGAATGCCGAAAGCTCAAGAATAAGGAGAAAAGGCGTGACAAAAGTGTGGATAAGAAGCAAGAAGACACAACGACAGTTACTCCGATGATCTCATGGTCGTTTATGAAGATGATTGTATCAATTTTGTGGGCCAAGAGAGCAATTGGGTGATTGATTCTGGTGCTTCTTTCATGTGACTTCTCGAGTTGATTTCTTTCACTATCTACACCGAAGGAGATTATGGTTTGTTTGAATGGGTAGATGAAGGTTTGTCCAAGATTATTGGTATGGTGATGTTGCTTGGAAACAAATTTGGGCTGCAAGTTGTTGCTTAAAGATGTAAGGCATGTTCCCGACATTCGCCTCAATTTGATCTCTACTGGGAAGCTAGATGATGATGGCTACAACAACAAATTTGGTGATGGAATATGGAAGTTCACAAAGGGTTCTTTGGTGTGGCTAAGTGCAAGAAGACTCATACACTTTATTCGATCAAGAAAAAATTTGTAAATGTGTTGTCAATGCACTTCAAGATGATACTTTCTACCGAATTGTGGCACAAGCGGCTTGGCCACATGAGTGAAAAGGGGGCTACAAATTTGTTCAACGAAAAAGCTTCTACCCGGTTTGAAAGGTACACATCTTAAACTTGTGTTCATTGTTTGGCAGCCACCCGCCACCACCCACCACTACCCGCCATCCACCACCCACCTGCCACCACCATCCACCCACCCGTCACCGCTTTCCACCACCGCTTTCCGCCGCTACCACTCGTCACCACCCACCACTCGCCACCACTTGCCATTTCTCAGTCTTTTTTATATTTTTAAATTTTTTTAAATATTTTGTCAATTACCAAACGCGTTTATAGTTTATGTTTTTCTAAAAATAAATAAAAAATAAATAAAAATTAATTTATAAAATTTTTATAAATATAAATTGAAAACGTAAACGTTACCAAACATACCTAATTATATCCAAATTAAATTGAGTTCCACAAATATAATATATAAAAATATATTATACCTAACGTTACCAAACATACCTAATTATATCCAAATTAAATTGAGTTCCACAAATATAATATATAAAAATATATTATACCTAAATCAAGTCAAATTAATATTCTTTTAACAAATCAATTGAGTCTCACGCCCCAATAAAAAAAAAAAAAAAGAGGCGTACCCAACGCATCGAGCCCCCAAACCCTAGCATTTTCAAGGTAACAAAATACCCGTTATCTTCTTCGTTGTTTACTGATCTCGGTTTTCTTGATTTCATCGGCAAATCTGGAATCTGGTAACTGGGTTTGTGAAAAATTGATGTTTTCACATCTGGGTCGCCGACAATTCCCAGTTTGCGTAAAAAATTCCCTCTGGGTCGCCGGAGAATTGACATTTTCCGGCGAGAAATTGAAACTTAGCATTTGGATAGCTTTCATTTTCATTCTTGAATGCTTGATCTAACTATTTTAACAATTTATTTGATTTTTCAGTTGAAGATTGATACAATGCCGGAGTCAAGAGACAGATTATCGAGGCCTGACGACATTACAGCAATGTTTGCTCGTCGGCGGCAATCGATTGGAGGCATAGCGATCCTACTTGATGAACCAGAAGAGGTGGGTTCTGGAACTCCGTTCCGGTGGGGAGCGACGGCGATGACGGGTACGCGTGGAGCGATGGGATCGGCTGCTACACGAGGTGGTGGTGTCGGAAGGGGTAGTTTGGGAACTCCAAGAACTAGAAATAGGCGTGGTGGTAGCCAGAGTTTGTATAGATCGCCGGTAGTGGTGGGTTGAGAGAACACGCCTTTGGGAACAGTTCGGCGAGGCTGAGGACGAGGAGGACGTGGTAGTGTGTGTCGTGCGGGTAACGATTCTTTAAGTCTCCTGATCTATTGGCTGCCTTTGGTTATGTTATATTCATTTCTGTTTTGATTTATTTCCATTAATGTTGTCATTTTGGTGTTTTTAGTTTGATAATGTGTAGGGTTGCGATGAAATTCGGTTAAGTTTAACTCATTTTTTGTTGGATATGATTCATCTGAGGTCATTTATTCTGTACACTGGTTCTTGGTTGCTTTTGGAGATTGCAATGTAGATGATTTTAAGTATCTTGCTTAAATGTGCCTGTGATGAATCTTAAGTAGCATTTAGTGTAAAACTAGTTCAATATGATTCATGGGCTCTGTGATATTTGTCCCCTTTTGGAAAGTGGGATATAATCCACTTCTCAGGTTATAATCCACTTCTTCTCTCACAAACAGCTTTTAACCAAAAAGCTGATTTTAATCATCTACCCAAAATAGTCTATATGTTATGAATTTATTCTCAATTATTTAAGGGTTTCATGACCAGTTTTAATCATATTAAAAAGGGGTACTTAATAATCAATCCTAAAGTTAGTTCAGTTTAACTATGATGATGATTTTTGGTATTTATCATTTGTGCTAGTTTAGTCTACACGAGAATGAGAAACATGGTTGGAACAATGCATTTCTTGAAATGATAGTATTTTTTGTTTCAACATATGCAATAGTACTTGTCTTGCAATATTAAATTGGAATAATTGGTTATCCCTAATTATTGGGTTGGTGAAACCTGAATGAGGTGATGGTTATATTTGGACACCATGGTGTTGTAATCTATTGTTGATCCCTTTTTGTATCTGGTTTATACATCTTTGATTGTTAGGTAAAATCTCAGCTTGGTTGGTTATTGTCCTCGTGGATTTTGCATCCAGTTGAATTTGAACGATAGTCTCTGACTTTGTTCATTTGCATTCATTTATGAGGCTAGAAGTGCATTAGAAAAGCATTAATTTTATGTTGAGACTCTGTTCCAATTTCATCTATTAAGTGAAAAAATGTCAATATGTATTTGGTAATAACGAGACTCCAGTTGAAGTTATCCCTTCCTCTTCTGATGTGTTTCTTAACTTAAGTTCAAGAAAAGAAAAAAAAATTACGTATTTTGTCTCTTTAAGAAATCTTGAATTTGAAGTTCAAAGTAAATTGAAAGCTTTTACTTCATTTCTATTTATGTTTTATACTATATTTGTCTTAATATTACATCATCAACTTTATTGTTCAATTTTTCATTTCTAGGATTTTCTGCGTTACACTCTATCATGCTTGGCAAAATTTATATAGGTCTTCCATTTGTACTCATTTTCCTCAAAAGAAAATCAGACTGTAAAGTTGAAGTTCGTACGTGTTATATTTTATTTTTATGTTAACAACATTGTTGAGACAACAAATTATAGTTTAGAGTTTGGCTAATCGGTTTTAGTCAATTCATGGGCAGTTTTTGCATATAGTTCTTCCATTTGTACTCATTTTCTTCAAAAGAAAATCAGACTGTAAAGTTGTAATTTTTACGTGTTATGTTTTTATTTGGATCTTAACAACGTTGTTGAGGCAACAAAATTATTGTTCTGAGTTCGGTTAATCTGTTTCAGTCAATTCATGGGCAGTTTTTTGCATTTTCTAGGTCAAGTCAGCAAGAAACCATGTTGCGTTTGTACCAAGTGATTTGAGAGCCTGCTTATTGAGGGCCAAAGTGATCTTTAGTCCTTTTGCACCCATTGTTGTTGCTCAACTTGAGCACAAAATTTATACAATCTTTCAGAACGTAAAACCATTGGAATCAAGCCTTGTCAAATTCCTTGTCGGTTAGCAAAAGATGGTGTTTCTGGTTCCATTTGCCTCTTTTGAGCATCATTGTACATTTTTCTTTGGTTGGAATAAATATTACTCACCTACTTAGAATAATGCAAAAAAGAAAAAGAAAAAACAAAAGAAAAGTCAAGTTGGCTATGCTAGGGTTAAGTGCCAAAAATGTACACTTCCTTGCAACATATAAATGATGTATAGGAAGGAGATTTGAACCTGTCTGTTCTGTTTTATTTTGTATAGATTATCTTGATGAATCTAATTTGGAATTGATATTCTTTTATAGGCCATTGAAAGAAGAGCTAGCTTGAGGGAAACCAAAAGCCTACAAAATGAGAGTCCAATACCCTAGGTCCAGAATGTTCTTGATCCTTCTGTGCCTACATCAGGTGCTCAACTCAAGCACGATATTTCTATGATCTCCCCAAATCCCACAGTTGGAATGAGGAATTCCTTTCCACCATCTGTTGGTAAAGTACCAAAGATATTGCTTGATATCACCAATCAAAATGTTGGACAGCCTGATTGCCTCACCCCCCAGAAGAAGTTCTTGAACTCAATTGACACGGTTGAGAAAATGGTGATGGAAGAATTGAAGAAACTGATGAGTACTCCTGGTGCTAAGAAGGCTGACCGGGAAAAAAGAGTTCGTTCTTTGGCGTCAATGCGTCGAAAATGGTGATAGAAGAATTGAAAAAACTGAAAAGTACTCCTGGTGCTAAGAAGGCTGACCGGGAAAAAAGAGTACTCTTCAGTTTCTTCAATTCTTCCATCACCATTTTCTCAACCGTGTCAATTGAGTTCAAGAGCTTTTTCTGGGGGTGTGTGTGTTTTTGATTCTGTCTGTTTTGCTAGTTTGTTTAATTTAATGGTGCCTTGAGATAGAGAGAATGATAGCCAAGAAGTGATAACCAATTTAGTCCAATTAGCAAATTTACAGCTTATTGTTGGCTTGGTTTTTCTTAGTTCATTGTGTGGATTAGTTTAAATCTATGGACTCGGCACAAACTTCACTTTCATGATTTAGTTCTTTTATCTTATAAGTTATTATCTATAAATCATTATAATTCATACAATGTAGTGTTGTTTAAATTGTGAAATTAAATAAATAGATTCACGAATAAATTAAAATATATATATATATATATATATACCAAGAACACATATTAAGAATTACAATAGAAATACACAATACAATAAAATGGTAAATAAAGCAAACTGAAGTTTGCACGGTAACAGTTTTCTTCAAACAGATTTCGCCGCCTCACGGGTCAAGTGCTTGAGGAATTCTGGTGTCTGTATCCCAGGATATGATGGTCAAAATCAGCTCCGGCAGAAGCATTTTCTGTCTAGCTTAGCGAACAAAACCATGGCAGTACTCTCTCACTGTAGGAACTTTCTAACAAACTGACTTGTAAAAAAGAAGTAAAAATTTATGTGTTTGAGACTTGACAGGAGGGACTCAATTTATACATGTATAGGGGAGAGAGGAGAAGCCTCCAGCCTTTATGGCTGGTCACTACTGCACCATTAACCTCTACAATAAAGACAGGAGTTACAAACCCTATTAATGCATTATTAAACTCTGCAATAAAGGCATAAGTTACAAACTCCATTAACTCTTTCATGAAGTTAACTTCATGGGGCAATTTCTTATTTAATTCTCAATGGTTTTTAGTCATTCTATTTGTAGTGTAAAGATCTCATTGCAAAGTATCTAGACTCACTTGGACCCAAAACAATAAACGGTTGGGACCCATTTTAATATTAATTAAAGTCACCCAAAAATCATTTTTTCCAACAATCTATCACATGAATAAAAATTGACTGAATGACCAAACAAACGGACATTATTCAACAATAAAGACTTGGAGAGAGTTCAACGGACTAACCCCGACATTAGAGAAGGTAGCTTTGGCTTTGAATCTCTCCCAGTGAAAACCTATCGAGTTTACTGGTTGATCAGTGAATATGACATCTTGAACTGCTTGCCGTTTATGTAAACTGAGGCAATAGATTTCACACGGGAATTATTCCTACTACAATTCTGTTCTCATTGGTGTGCCCTGTATGGCCCTGGGCACTAGCCTGGTTCAGCGAGTGGTTTCAAAGAATCTTGGCGTACCCAATTCTTCTAGAAACGGCCCCACTTCACACTCACATAGGTGATTCTACTTGAGCATCTTGCTATACTCAGCTCAACAGCTTAACACATTAGAGTCATTAAAAGCTCAGCTTAACCTCTACACTTGCAGGTATCACTGATAGAAGGAATGGCTGGAGGTTTAACCTCCTTAGTGACATACCACTGTTACATGCAATTAGGTTGTCCCATTGAACTTAGATCCTGGGATCTCCAGTTAACTAGATTGGGTTTCCATTCCGGTAACTTCCAAAGGCCTCAACCCCATTCCTTTTGACGACGTCTCGACCAACACTCGTTTAACCCTTTGGTTAGCGGATCCGCAAAGTTGTCCTTAGACTTTACATAGTCTGTAAAAACAACTCTATTTGAGAGTAGTTGTCGAATGGAATTATGTCTACAACGGATATGTCTAGACTTTCCATTATACATATAACTCTGTACCTTACTAATTGCAGATTGACTATCACAATGTATACAAATAGCTGGCACAGGTTTAGACCAACGTAGCAAATCTTCAATGAAATGGCGAAGCCATTTAGCTTTTCTCGCTACTTTGTCAAAAGCAATAAACTCTGATTCCATCGTAGATCTAGACATACACATTTGCTTGGAAGATTTCCAAGACACGGCTGCCCCACCAAGAGTGAACACAAATCCACTAGTGGACTTTGAGTCATTTATATCTGATATCCAATTCGCATCACTATAGCCTTCTAGCACTGTTGGATATCGAGTATAATGCAGCCCATAATCTCGAGTGTAGCGTAAATACCTTAACACCCGCACAATGCCCTTCCAATGAGAAGCATCGGGATTACTTGTGTATCTACTAAGCTTGCCAACCGAGTAAGCTATATCCGGCCTAGTGCAACTCATCAAATACATCAAAATACCAATGATCCTAGAATATTCTAGCTAAGAGACACTCTCATCATTATTGTTGGTCAAGTGCAAACTGACGTCTACCGGTGTCCTAGACACACTTGTATCTGATTTACCAAATTTCTCAAGTATCTTCTCAACATAGTGAGACTGAAAAAGTACAATTCCACTAGATATTCTGGTAATCTTAATACTTAGAATAACATTTGTAAGACCCTCTTGGGTTTAGGTATTCTCGCCTTTTGCATGGTACCCCCACATTTGTAGAATTTATACAAAGGCTTTTGGCCTTTTTCGAAAATTCAAACAGAGTCTTTAAACAATTTCTTGTGTCACAATGATTATGAAACTCTCAAAATCAT